CTGCAGAAAAGGAGCGCTGAAAAATTTACACATTCCCCTGCTTTTAGATGTCTTGAAAAATTTCCATCTATACATCTTGTAATTGTTGATTTGGCATAAAATTTAACTTTAGGTGTATGTGTGACTTTTAAATATTAATGCCCTCCTGCTCTCACGTAGAGAGTACTAAAAGCCCCAGAGAGTAACTCCTTTCAGTATGACCTGGCAACAGTAGCCAGGAGATGCACTTCATCTCTCTCTGGTCAATTGATGAGCTATTGAACATGTATTCATTATGCGGCCCTGTGAACCACACAGAGATCTGAAAATTACAGCTTAATGGAGGTGATAAAGGCATTGTTTGAAAATAAGGTGTACTGCTGGACCTTGTAAGGGGATGTGAAGGCTGAACACACAAGGGTATGTGAAGAACGAAGGCTGCCTTGCCTGCAGTTACCATGAGATGGTGGAGTTCAGGATCCTGAAAGGAGAGAACATAAAAGAAGTAATGTCCAATGTCTTCATTAATGATCTGGATGATGGGGTAGAGTGCACCCTCAGTCAGGGAGAAGTGGCTGATAAGCCAGAGGATTGTGCAGCTATTCAGAGAGACCTCAGAAGGCCAGAGAAATGGGCCAACAGGAATCTGATGGAGTTGAGCAGAGGAATTTGTCAAGTCCTACACTTGGGGATGAAAAACCCCATGCACCAGTACAGGTCACCCGGCTGGAAAACAGCTTTGCAGAAAATTATCTGATGTTCCTGTTGTACAGACAGTTAACCATGAGACAGCAATGTGCCCTTGAAACAAAGAATGACAGTATCCCCCGATCTGAATTAAATCTAGTTTTCCACAGTCTCCTACATTTTAAGATATATCTGTTATTGCTTCACAAAACTTTCACCAGGTAGAACAGTTCACTACATACATTTTCAAGAAGAGAGGTAATAGAAAAAAATCAGAAAACAGATCAGTCACAAGAAAAGAAAGGTAACCAGACAGCACCTAATCCTTCCTTTGTTTCATATCAAGGTCCTTTCTATATTATTACATTGTGCAATTTCTAATTTTTTGAACTACATTACTGTTTAAAAAAAGTTTACATTATAAACACGAAAAAGGGAAAACTTTAGTAATAAAAAGAGAATGCCAATGACTTTGAGGACAATTAGCTTGAAAAGGTCAGAAATATTCTGGCACTACTACACTATTGTATGTACTTAAGAGAGCCTTTGCTTACAATCCAGACTGTTTGAATCAATATTGCTACTTTCTAACTTTTCTTCAACTCACTCATTAAACATTTCTAGTCTACTTCACAAAAAAACTGAACACTTTTGTAAAAAAACCAGAGAAGATGCATCAGTATATATAAGTAATGACATTTATAGTACTGCTTGTCTTTCTACACTTCATTAAATTTTCACATTTATATTTTCTCAGATAGAAGAGGATCAATTCGGGTATGGACAAAACAAACTGGCCTCTCTTTTGCAGCTACTACAGATGCTTTACAAAGTCTGAAAACAAAGCTGTTGCAGTCTGTTGCAGAGCAATTTAAATTAGTAGTAGAATGGCTAAGGCTTAGTAAGAGAATAGGCCTAAAAAGCAGCACTCCAAAGTAGTAAGTTAGCAACCCTGTTTGTGAGCATGAAATGTACTGAAGAAGTAGAAACAATAATTAAAGGATTTAGTCAAGCATGTATATAATGATTTGTTACCTTGGATGTGGTGAGGGTCTGTTAAACAGTTACTAGGGGTAAGACAGCTTGAGTAGATTTATGATTAGAGTAGTTGATTGTCAATTGTTAGCAGTATGAGCTCGTTTGTAACTGAATGAGACTGTTCTGCTGTGGAACTGCACGTACTAATTTTGCCGTGGAAACCAAATGTAAACTTGTTTGTGTATAAAAGCTGAACTGAAAATGAGGGTCTTTGGAATCCTGACTTGGGACGTGAGTCCTCAGGTTCCCGGGGCCCCGAATAAAGCACCGCATAAACCGACACTCTGTTGGTTTGTGTCTTTGTTTACGGGCAACAAGTCTAAATAACAGATGAAAGTGACATTTGCTGAGAGGACAGCTATTTATTATGTTATGGATGCAAAAATCAGGGGGATTAAAAGACAAAAGGGTAATATGATAAGGCTCAATCTCAAAAATGGCACATTAACAGACATCCAAGAAAAACTAAAATCAGAAAACTAAAAAGTTTTTTTATCACATCAATCCAAGGCATCAAGCATTCCCATTCTCAAGCTTAGGGTTGAAAAAGGGTCTGTCCACAAAACTGAAAAACACTGCTGGGACTGTCCTATATACACAGACTGCAGAACTGTATTTAATCACCATTTCACCTCCCATCCAGTCATAAGGTACCTAATCTTATGTATTATCTTTGATTACGAGATTCTTTACATAGAAAAAGAAAATTATATTTATTTTTACTGAAAGGTACTTATCTGCAAAGGTTTATCTTCATTTCGCATCAGAAACAACCTTGCAAGCATCTTTGCTTCATTTTTTCATGTATCCTAAGTGGAATATGCAAACAAAAAATCCCTAATATTATCCTAAACAAAGTAGTTGAAAAGACACCCAGAAAAAGAACTTAAATGAAAACCTGGCTTCACTCATCATATTCCTGTTGATACTAATGAAACCATGATTTCACCCATTCATACATAAGATATAATACCTGCATATAGCAGTGCCCAGGAATATCTTATCTGTTATATGAGAAAATATGAAATATTGTGGACAAAATATGGGATTTTCAGGTATAAATTAAAAGTTCTTCAGAATGTAACTAGACTGCTTTCATTCAACATTTATAGGTGTCTCTGATATCATCAACTGAAAGATACCAAGAAACATAGAGCATAATAATGTTTACACAATGTATTGCTTGTTGATTACTTACGTATTATGTGTGATATTATGATATATGCTAATAAAAAAAATTATTACATTTTAAACCAGTGAGGATGACCAAGGTACAGAAAATTAAGCAGATTCCATTTACAAAGTTCTTTCTTCAAAATATGTGGATTATTTTAGAATTTCAGGGGATTTTTCTATTTATAATTTATTTCTTCCAGAGAAAGTAAGTCTGGGCATTCTTACCATATCACTAGTACTCTGCTGTTACCATTACACTGACTTGACGCATTTGAACTGTGAAAAAAGAAATTATCCTAAACTGGGTTTAAACTGAAATATACAAATCATTGCTGTATCAGCAGCAGTTTACAAAATTAACATCAGGGACCCTACCTTAAAGTTGTTTATTTTCAAACATATTCATTTATTATACTCTCTAAGGCCAGTGCTCATGCCAAGCATTTTTACATAGAAATATAATCTATACCTTTGATTTAGTTTAGAAAGTAAATATAATCTGTTTAAAATTAGTAGGGTGGCATGGGGTTTTTTTTCTTTTTTTTGTTTGGGTTTCGGTTTTGACACAAACAATGCAAATGGATTACTTTTCTGAAAAGAACAGTCTCAGAAACCATAATTATGTAACAGTGTTAGCTAGAATCAAGCACAGGCGGAACCTATGGAATTTTTATAACACATAAGTACATGTTGAGCTATGGAGCTACTATAGTCCATGTTTTTATTCCTCTCAAACTTCAAATCACAGATCTGTGCAGCCCTAGTAATGCTGCACAGGGCCCTAGTAATGCTGAACTTGTGTTCTGACCTAGATTTATAGATCATTTTCACAGAGACTCTGAAAATAAACCTACAGAATGAAACACATATCCTCCTCTCTTTCATCTGAAAGCTATACACACAGATTTACTCCATGGCACTCTAATATCCAAGACCTAGGACTATTACAGAATGTGTAAGTCAGTTGTAACAAATTAATGATGATTCTCAGAGGCAGACAAGTTAATCATCAACAGCTTTGTTTTAATACCAGGGTATTAATAAACAAGAAAGAATAAAACTCCAAAACAATAGGCCCTTGCTATTGCTGAGGATAAAGCAAATTCCAATATAATTTGTATGACTAAAATCACACTTAGGGATCTGTGCAAATTCTTAGGTCACTAGTGCACAATGCATTCTTTGCTTCTGCAGCCCCTCTCTTCCAGTTTTTTTCCTATACAGGTGGTTCAGTCATGCCTGACCAAGCTGCAGAGACAGCAGAACAGACCCAGATAAAATAAGCATAGCTGTGTTTCAGCATGCGCAAGGGCTAGTTGTATGTCTCCTTGACTAGCCATACACATTTCTTGCTTTACATTACTAATTGTATCAGGAAGTGGGTTTATTTAGTTTATCTACTTGCAAATGTAATCATGGCATACCTTCTATATATTTCAGAATAAATGCAAAAAACATACAGTCCCCAGAAAGGGAGAAAAGTGGGCATTCATCATTGGCAACTCTGCAGTTCATGATTTTGTTTCTCACCAAAGTGCATTCCAAATGATTACCCAGTCAGAGGCAGCCCAGCACGCATTTTTTCATAACTTGCTGTTGTTTACATTCTGCATTGTTAACAAAATTTAAAAAAAAAAAAAGTATCCTCTCAAACATTGTCCACTTTTAGGGCCATATTTCCTCCGAAGTTCACAATAGAGACTGGAGGCTAAACAAGACAATGTGGTAATATAGTTTCAAGTCATTGTCATAAATGCTTTATCATTCACGTTCTGAGTTGCATAACAGAAACAAAATAACTTTATGCATCAAGCATTTAACCTTCACAGCATGTGTCAAAATTAGAGGTAAATGTAAATTTGCCTTACTTAGTGTAAACCATGTATTACACCAAGCCTCTCCACATGTATGTTTTCTCTGCTTAGATTCCATCAGATGTTTCACCAGTATCTTTCATGATTTGTATGTCCAATATGATCAACTAAGTAAATATGGGAATCCTGAATGGTTTTGTCCACCGCTTTGCTTGCATTCTCTGTTTCATAAACACTAATACCAACAACCCAACTTGCAGTGTCAGACACCATCACACACTAGTCCCGCCCAGTGACTACACTTATCTTCTCAGGATTCTCCAGCCTTAGCAGTCATGGTTTCAGTCTTCTATGTTTTGTAGCTGTGGGTTAATAGAAAAAAAATACTATTCTCCTACAAGTATGGAATATATTTTAAAATAAAAAGCACAAAAGTATTACCATACATAAGGCTGTGTTTATTTTTTCTGTAAATTTCCAAATACATGCACTTATTATGTATACCTACTAAATTTAAGATCTTGATATTTTATCTAACTTGCAAAATTTTATAATAATAACTTACTCTATTATCACATCCCATTTTCTTTAAATGCTTACTGACTGTTGTTTCTTTGATCTTTCCAGTACTTCCTTTTCTTGCATCCAACCTTTTCTATAAAATAAACAGGTTTCCCTTAGTCCACCTACCTCTTCCTACAATTTGTGAAAATATTCTGCACTGTTCCAAAACTGAAAAAGTTGCAAATAAGTTATATAGAATGATATCTCTGCCAGCTCACATCACCACATCTCAAGACTATTTTCCTTTAGGATAGGAGTAAGTTTTCCAGATGAACAGAGGCTATTTTTCCTAGAAAAACATATTACACTTGTTTTCCCTCACGCTGCCTCTTCCTTTACAACGGGAATTTTAAACAAGGAATCACATTTCATTAACGTTATTTCTCCTTCTTTACTTTACATTGAATGCTGTACTAAAAATGCAACCTTACAGAAAAAGCTCCAAATCAGGCTTTATTCTTTTTCTGTAAGTAAAAATCTCATGTATTGCATGATGCACAACTCTTAGAAAGCAATAATGTGAACATATAATTAGCAACTGTATGACAATACAGAGATTCAAAGGAGAAGAAAAATTCATGAAGGTATCCATGTCTGAGAACATGATTTCAGAATCAGAATAATGTTTGCTTTTGAACAAATGTTTTCATAGTAGAGTGGGAGATGGCATAATGTGGCACACAGTGTGAGTGGTAGAAAAGAAGCAAGTACATAGATCTTTTTTTCCCCTCCTCCTTTACATCAGTCAATAACAGTTTGCTTTCAGCATCATTCCTGTCTGCTGTAGGTGTTCCTGCAGGACCTGAATGTTTCAAATACACATTGTTCCTTCACAGCAGCAGTACGGACTTGTAGCCTTTATATTCAGTCATTTTGACAGCCTACAAAAATCTCTTTCTGAAATGCAAATGAAGTCAGGGAAGTGGTAATTTGTAAAATTTTATAATTCAATGAGAATTTAGAAATATTTACAAAAGACCTGTCTCCTGCTGCAGGTCTTTGACCCTGGCAAACTTCAAAGGTTGGTGAAAACAGTAAGGTATTAAAGTTTTGAGGAAAAAACCCAACATACTGCAAAAATCTAACAATGGAAAATGCTAGGCAATTTAAAGAGAGGGTTCACTATCAGCACTCATAATAATTATTCCACATTTCTTATTTTGTTTCTTTCATAACTAAATTAGTAGTTCAATGTTCATTTTTACTTTCTGCCTAAGGAGGTCTATTCTTCCCTTGCAGCAAAAAAAAAAAAAATTGAAAGTACTTTAGAAATCTTATCTAAATATGTACATTTTCAACTTCTTGCATACATACTAGTTTACAGTACAGGTAAAAAGAACTCAGGCTTTTCAATGTAATGTAGTAAATAAGTAAGTAAATAAGGTCATTGTCACTGTCCAACAAAATTATCTCTATTCTGAAACTGTTAATTTATACTTAGCAATAAAGTTTGAGATTTCTTTGAATGAGTTAAAATCCTTTCAAGGCATTGATCTATTTTTGCTGCACGTGTATACAGTTTCCCAAACCCTGAAGGCAAGCTTCTAGGTGTTATTACAATGGTAAAAAAAACTTTAAAGAGCCTATACTCAATTAACTCTATGAACAAACATGGGTATCACACAAAACATTTCCTTTTCCCTTCAGGAATCTCACAAATGCCATTATCACCATTTATTAATACGTTGATCCTCTAGTTATCCATTGAAAATAGCAATTATTCTGATTCCTATTACAGGAAAAAAACAAGTATATTTGAAGTTTTTCAAATTAAATCCCAAGTGGCATGTTTAAATGAAAATTACTTAAACACTAAAATGCATGGTAAAGAGCTCTCTATTTCATTTTACATGATCTGTTTGAGTTTTAGCTGAAAGCATACAGGAAGAAGATAGTTAGTGCTGGAACATTTACTCTGACTAAAAAAGCAAGATGAGCGCATATGTTAATACCATTGAAGACGAAAAATTTGTGAAGTGGAAGGAAAGCAACAGTTCCATGAGTCTATGTAGGCACTCTAGCTTTAGATAATGATTCAAGAACTTAGGATTTTTGGCTCAGGGAAGCAAAAAAAATATGCAACAAAGAATGTCAGAACTGCTTAAATCTCTTCTCTCAGATACATTATGTTCAGTACACAAGGAAATTTAGGGCAATACCCTTGTGTCAGGAGTATCAGTAAGCATTAAAAACACTGCACAACCAAAGCAAGCTCATCAGCTGCATCATTCAGCTAAACTCAGAAACAACCTAATGTGGAACTATCTACAGTTACTGTGTGATCAAGCTACACAAATTATAAAACCAATCTGGCCATATACAATTTCTTTGCTTGGCTGATGCCTTTCCATGACCAAGGATACAGACTACAATTTTTACTACCTGACTATTTTTCAGGACTATACTGGGGACAGTATTATGCAAATCTTCATCAAAGACAATTTCTTCTAGGCTGGTTGCCACCAAAAGGAGCTTTAAAAGCAAGATAAATCTCCTAAGTTACTTTTTTTGAAACACAAAGGCTTATAAGGTGCTGCTATGCTTACAGAGCAGCAAGAAGCCACCACTAACATTGTTCTTAACAAATGTCCTACAATGATTTAGCAACTTTTCCAGCCTACTTTTGAAAGATCTTTTAGATTGTTAAGGTCTTTCTTATACCTGCACAGGCAGACCTCATTGTGTGTCTCCTGGTTAAGGAGGATACTCTTTTTACTTTAAAATATCTGATAAGATTCCTTCCCTGCAAGTATTCTCCAGGATGAAAAATCCCAGCTCATTCAGCATGGCAGATTTTTCAATCCCTTAATCTTCTTCTCGGCCCTTCTCGGGACTCGCTTCACATCCACCTTTTTCTTGCACTGGTAAGGCCAGAACTGAACACAGCACTCCAGATGTGTCCTCAACAGTGTTGAGTAGAGGGGAATAACCACTTTCTTGATCTGCTGGGATGCTTTTCCTGATGCAGCCTAGGACAAGGTTGACATTTGTTGCTGACTTATTCAACTTATTGTCCACCAGGAACCCCTAGTCTTTTTCTGCCAAGCTCTTTTTCAGCTGGTTGGTCTCCAGTCCTGCTCCAGTGCATGGAGTTGTTCCTCCCCAGGTGCAGGACTTGGCACCTCCCTCCATTGAACTCCATCAGATTCCTGTCAGCCCATTTCTCGGCCTGTCGAGGTCCCTTTGAATAGCAGGGTGTGTCAGCCCCCTCTTTCAATTTTGTGTCACTTCTAAAATTGAGGTGCACTCTGTCCCCATCAGCCAAGTCATCAATGAAGATGCTGAACTGTCCTAGGCTCTTGGATACACCACCAGTGACTGGACTCCAGATGGACTTCATGTTGCTGACAAAAAACCTTTGAATTCAGCATATCACCCCAATGTCTACTTCTCTAGTCATAACTTACTTCATAAGTTTGTCTCAAGGATGCATTTCAGAATCTGTCAAAAGCCTGATTAAGATCAAGACAAAGTTCACAGCTTTCCTCTCATCTGCTGAGCCAGTCAACTTTCCAGGATGTCTGGTTGGTTGAGCAAGACTTACCTAATTGTAAGTGCATGTCAACTACTCCAAATCATCTTCTACCTTTAATATGTTTAGGAATTGTTTCCCCAATTAGCAGCTCTATGACTTCCCAGAGACGGATGCAAGGCTGGCCAGTTTGTAGCTCCCAAAATCCTCATTCTTGCCTTTCTTGAAAATAAGGATGACATTTGATTTCTTCTAGCTCTTAGGAATCTCCTCCAAACACAATGACTGTTCAAAAACAATTAAGAGTGACCTTACAATGACATCAGCCAATTCTATCAGCACTTGCTGAGTCAGGTGTGATCATGGACTTGCATACTCCCAGTTTGTTTAAAACTTTCCTAAACTAAACCTCCTCCATGAAGGGTAAGTCTTCCTTGTCCCTGCCTTTTCCACTGGTCTCAGAGACAGGTGGGAGATACAAGTCTCACAAGTCTCTCTCTCATTTCCATTTTAAATTCAAGAAGGTATGACTTAGTTCATCCTGTCAAAGATGACTGAATACACCAGTACTCACAGTAGCTGTCTGAATTAACCTTGAATGGGGACTTTGCTAATCCTGTTTTATGTCAGATTAATCTGAATGATGAATACAATGATCAGAAACTGCAACACAGTCTCTGTGAAACTTCTGGAACACGTTCACTGCAATATCATTTGAGTGGATGAGAATAAAGATGGAAAATTGATTAGCACCTTCATGGCTTCTGGACTGAGGTTATGATCAGGAATTAAACCCTCCATGTTTAATAGTGCAGAGAGCATTATCATGCTCAAATTATGTTACCTCAGTGGGCTCCTCACTTATGCTATGGAGAGGAGTATCTTTTAAGAAGAATCTTGTCCTTGTCAGGAAAGTAATATTGCAGTGCTTTGCAGGAGAGCTGTATGGATAAAATAAAAATTAAATAAGTATTTAAAAACTTGGGAAAAAATAAAGGGTGTGACAGAAATTGAACCCTTCTGTGGCAAAGTGGAAAATAGACTTTGTTCAGGGGGAAAAAAAAAATCACAAAAATATCCCTTCTATGGGATTTTCTGTTTGGTAGCAGAAATTTTTTTTTCTGAGAATTGATTATTCTCAGAATAACCACAACATTATTCAAATAGTGAGCATCCAAACAATTAGAAACAGGGATAATGGAGCATGCTGAAAAGATTTATCTAACAAGGGACCCACCATCAAGGCATAACAGGTCAAAGATGACAAGTAGCAAACAAAAAGAAAATATTTTATCTATCACACCTTATCCTTGAAAGAGTCACAGGAGAATTAAGTATAAACATAAAGATTCTACTCAATTCAAAATAGAACATTCATTAAATATCCTTAAGTTTTCCCTCAGAATTTCGTTTTTACAGAGATAGTTGTCACGAGTAAACAGACTTGAGAAACTTTCCATTTTTCAAAGAGCGCATTAACTTAGGATCTTTTCACAGGACACAATGCTGCTTGTTAAGTTTATCTGCAAAGATGGCGTTTTTCTTTCAAGGACAAACACAGCAAACAGTACCTCCCCCATGGCTATGGTATGTTAATTAACCTATCATTTCTAGAATATAATAGCTTGTCAGCAGAAAAGGCTAAAATTGTGAACGGACTTCAATAAAGTTCCCCATTCTAGATGATAAGTTTCTTTAATTAGCATTTAAGCACTACTAGGTAGCCTTATTTGAATGGTCCAAACAGCTTTTATTAGGCTTGATAGCCATTAGGGTATAAAAAGAAAAAATATCTTACATTAATCTTTGTCTTCAAGACATATTCTCAAAAGAGCAACTAGCAAGCTCTTAAATGCAGTCAACAGTATTTTTTTTCCAGGTGCATCTACAATTAGGACTTCAGTGTTGTGTAGGTGCGTTTAATGTAGGGTTACACTGAATGAAAGTGTAATCAGGCTATGACAACTTTCACTTTACTATGGTTAAACTGCTGCTGTTACCCTACCTGGTATATATAAAAACTGTCTGAAGTATATCTGACTGAATAATCCACTGGAGTACAGGCAGTAGAGTATTGAGAAATGGACACACATGATGATCAGGACTTTCCTACAGTTTTACCATCCTCCAGCACTTATGGATTAAAGCAGTATTAAAGCAAAACTGAATTAATTTATAATTACCCAGCAATAATGATTATGTTTTCTTTTTGTCTGAGTATCTGTCAAGAAATGTTTTCATCCTCACTGAACATTAGTCAAACATTCTCTGAGCTGTGATGCTGTGGGGAATCATTCTCCAACAGGGGTTTAATATGTGCTGAAATGGGAATGCATATCTGTGCCTTTAATTAACAAGGAAAAATGTAATAATACAAAAATCAGCTAACACCTCTTGGAAGCTGAAACATAAATGTACATTCTCTTTCAAACTAAAATGAGTTGAACCACTTAAAGCCATTAAAAAATAAGGATCAAGACCAATTACAAGGACTTTTTAGCTGCAAGAGAGTGCACTATCATTAATCTTCAGGGTTCAGAATTCTTCCTCCTCTTTGTCTTTGACATGTTTCATTTCTATAAAATCAGGATCCAAACATGCAAGAGTAGTTTAAATGCTTTGTGCTTTTACCTGGCACATGCAATTTGGTCTAGATTTCACATTCTCATTCCTAATATATGAATGTTACCTTGAAAAAATAAACTATCACAGTTAATAAATGATGACACAGTATGAACTCAAACATGAGTTTCTTATGTTTCACTGATTTTAAGGCTTGTATTACACACTGGTAGGTTGGAAGCTGAGCGTTAGTCCTGCCACTAACTAATCTAATCAGGGCAATTGCAAACAGAGATCACCACCTGATGACAGTTTTATTCATAACACTTAGGACAATTAGAGTTGTTCACAATATATGCTCAAATTAGGTATATTTCCCAGCCATTACAGCCTTATCAGTGTCAACTTCTAGAGACCAACATCATTCCTGAAAATAAAAAAATAAAGAGAGAACCATAGTATGCGTAAATGATAATGCAGTTGAATAAATGATACTGGAAAAATTGTGAATCAATCTGAACATGAGACAGACTGGTAGAACTCCAGTGAAGAAATTAGCAAGCTGCAATAGACAGTTACAACCATACCTACAGGGACAGTTCAGCATACATAGAGGTTATACATACTTCACATCATAAATCACAATTTATTTTAGACATTTTATTCACTAAAAATTAACAGCTTTCTTCATTCACAATTACTTTCAGTCACCAGAGTGCTATGCACTTTGTGCTTAAAGGTAAGGATGGTTAAGGGATTGATGCCTGTCTCCCTCTTGTTCCTGTATCCCCTTTCTTCACTTGAGACTGCTTAACATTAGATTTTTATTGTGTAGACATCTTAAAAATACATGCAAAAATCCAAGGCTCTCATTAAATGTACTGCTAGATTTCAACCACCATTTCAGATATCATATTGTCTAAGTGCAGTCTCCATCAAGAGACTGTAATTCTACCATCATGTATGCACAAGCTATTGATATAACCATGTGGAAAACAAATTTCTGGGATTTCTTCTCTAACCACAATGCTGGATGTGAGAGTTTTATTGTACAACAAAGCAAACTGCTAGGTGAGTTGCATTTAGTACGTCTTCCCTAAACTTGGGTAAAGATTAAATTAATTTTCACCCTCCAGCAATTAAATTCTCAAAGAGATAACTCTCTGAGTTTCACTAATTTGCATAGTTTAATTCTACTGAGCCAGAGAAGGACTTCTGTAGCTTCTCTCAGTGATGTGACTACATTGCAGTAACAGCTACAGCAAGTGCGTAGCTGGTACTAACGGAGACAGGATTTTGCAGCACTGCAAGTACTCCAAGCTAAACTGTGTATCTAGTTCAATATCGTGAGACCTGCAGTTCAGGTCTCCCTAAGACCTCATGATAACATTATTTTTAATTTAATGAAGAAGGAAAACTAACATTACTTTCAAGAAAATAACTGAGCAGGTTCCAGTTCTGGTAAGATCAAAATATAAAGCTATAGGGATCTTGGAACCAAAGATTCATCATTTACGCTGCTATCTGCACATTCACCATTGTTTGAAAATACCTGTAATAAGGGAATAAACCTAAATTGAGTGACTTAAGTTTTCCCGTAAAAGCACTCAGTCTGCTCTAACAACATTCTCTCAAAATACAGAGTATAAAAATAACATACATAGAATGATATACATACCCATTCTAGAACACGGATAAACAATATTAAGTCAGTGATGGATAAAAATGAAAAATGTCACTATGAATTTGGGAACTATGTGTTTGGGTAAAAGCATTGCTAGTTATTCCATCTCTTAAACATGACTGTGAGGGAAAGAACTGACAGAGGAGCCATCTGTTTTTCTTGCCTTAAACCCTCAAAAAGAGCTATAACAGCCCTAGAGTGTAGTGGTTGATAACTAAAACACCATGACACCGCATACCAAAGAGTAGAATAAATATGTAAGACAACTACTGAGAGAAGAGCAACTCTTTTAATACTAAACCCTTAATAATTAAAAAATACATACCCCTAAAGTATCTTTTTTTCTTCCTGATGTGTTGCTGTAATGTGCATTCCACTGGGGCTGGGCAGTCAGAAAATCGAGACCCTTCAGTTCCTAAGTACACTTCAGCCATTTATGCACGGTGTAAAGGAAACATTCTCCTCCTATTTCTTTTTCATTATGGACTTCATAAGGTATACAGAAATATGAAGCAAAGAGGAAAGTTAGAAAAAAAGGAATACATTGGGGAACAGCATGTTACAAAGGTAAATCTGTTAGATAGAGGCAATTAACTTTTTCTTGACCTATTTATTCAATTGTCATTTTATTCCAAACAATAAATGAAGTAAGAAATCAGTCCTTTTTCAGTATTGATGGGAGGAATGACTAACTAGAAAACATACCCAGAACAATGCTTGTTCAAAGTACTTCAGATAAGGACTTCAGAGAAGTCTATGCTATTTTCTTGTACTTGCCAATGATTAAAGCTGGTGACAATTTTTGGACATGCTGGAATTACACTGAGTATTCTTGTCTTTGACCATTCACAGCACTGCACTCCACTCGTATCTAGTTTGAAATTTTCTGGTGCAAACTAGAAGACTTGTCAAACTCTTAAAAGAGACAAAATTTGAACAACTTTATTCAAAACCAAGTCAAGATTACAGCCATTATGACACCTGAGCACTGTATATTTATCAGTGTTTTTAGGACCTTTGGATAGGATTTAATTGAAACACTGTAATGATGAAACACAGAGTATATGCACATATGTCTCAGGGGGTTCTGATACCAAAACTTCCAAAAGTCTGTTCTAGCTACTGCAGTCTTAAAAAACATACATATCACAAAAAGATGAAGAAAGACAACACATGCATGAAGAGTATTACAAAGATAAAGTTTTAGAAATTTTATTAGAGTATAAGACAAAGGATACTGCTTTTTTAAGGACAGAAGACTCTAATTGCCTTCATGAAGTAAATCCTGGGAGTGCTCCAAAGCTTGCAAGGAAAACTACAGCCATTATCATCAGAAGATGCAATTAAACAAACAAACACACCCCCCCCCTTTATTTCCATATCCTTTTTTTTTTTTTTAGATATTTTTCCTGGTGTTCAAATTAACCTTTTCTTGAATGCAGCCTGTATAGGTCAGGAATGCATACCAAAGTAACCTTACTAGATACTGTTGAAAAAGGTTACAGTGGGAAACTAATACTTTGTCATCAGTCAAAAAATCACCATTTTTTCCCAGAAAACAGGCAGATAATTTGAACTATCCTGTGAACTAAGTCTGTCTTATTTATGAAGAAATTGCCAGTATAAAGTCCTTTACCTAACTTCATCCTCAGGCAAACGTGGATTCCAATCTTTGAAAAAAAGGCTTGTTTCCCTTCATTGCAGATAAGTAGCTAAATGATACTACTGCTGAAAATAAGGATCACTCATCTAGGGAATTTCCTCTTGTGATTCCTGGGAAAATATTTTCTGCAATTGCAAGCATGCTAGAGATACTTAACTTCAGTATTGACATGATAATCTGATGATGCACGTATGCACCCATTCCAGAGCACTAACATGTACACAGAAGGAAAAAGCATTTTGGAATTTAGAAGAGTCTTGTCTGCTTGTGTAGCATATTGTTGTTATGCTGTCATAAACAAAGAGAATCTTGACATATGTTAGGAATTCTGAGATCAGCAACATAAAATTCTTCAAAAAATACTAATAATGAGAAAACACAGGCACTGTTCCGATGCACATTACTTTGAAAACTAAATCTTCCCCAGACAAAATTTGAAGACTCCAGATCAGATACTTTTCACTGAACTCAATACGAGCTTTTTTGTCCAATAACATGTTCTTTTCTTAATTTAAGTGATTTGGATGGGACCCAACTACCCTTTGAATCTGTCTCCAGTAGTAAAATGTAGTTCACATACTTTATTATTCAGTCATTGAGTGTGTGCCATAATAAGCAAGTGAGAGACTTCAAACTAAAATAAGGAAACATTGTTAGTCATAGCTGCTGTTCTTTAATAAAAACACCTCAGTTAAATGGACAATGATGTCACAAATCATTTGCTAGCCATACGGCTATGCAGTAAACAGTGATCACTTTGCACATCCTGTGACATCAAAATGATTAATTAATATGATATATCAGCATATTGCCTTATGCATGAACAGCTGTTCCTACACCTTCCAGATGGATATACTTAAAGTTCTATCATTCATGTTATATACCACCCACTAGTGGTTATCTGAAAATCTTCAAGATGCAAAAACATTAAATACTATAACAGAATATCAGGTAATTTTGTATTAAGATTAAAAATGACTTGAGACAAATTTTCATATAGTTGTTCTGAGAGGCAGTCTGCACATTGAAGAGACTGTCCAGTTCCGCAGATGCTAATTAAGGCCAATTTGTCACAGATAAGCAGCAACTTAGATGAGCTGTTAAACCAACAGGAGAAGACCAGGGGAAAAACAAATTATAATCCTGTGAATTTCTACTCTGGCATTCAGAGTAATCTTCCATGCAGTTCTACTTTTAGGAACTTAATGAGCTTTGTATTTTTTATCATGTCTGTGTTAGGCCTAAATGATCTAATGTTTTTGGAAAAGCTTTACCACTGGAAACCTTTTTGTCTATTGTTTCAGGACTAGAAGTCTGAACAAAAATGAAATTTACTTTTTTTTTGCCTCTGAGAACTTAAAATTCAAAAGTGTGATATACAGAAGACAAAATTTGATGAAAAAAAAGATGTGATAACTTCTTTGCATTTCATTTTCTGTTTTCATTTTTTGTGTATATGCAGGGTTTTTTTGAGATCCACACGAACAGAGTAGAAGACCACTCTGTACATAAGCAGAGAAAGGGAGGAAATCAGTTGGAAAATAAGAAATGAAGTTGGCACCAGTGGTAGAGAATTTGCTGGAGAAGATATTGCATAAATGAAGAGATTAATGGACATTGTTGTGCCTTGTTCTAGCAACATGCTTAGAAAACTCATTTACAACTCCTTTCAATCAGCCAAAACTATTGCCTTGTATGTCTGCACTGCACGATAATTTTTAAAACAAAGCAAAGCTGGATAAAAGTGACCTAGGCAAAAGAGTGGCAATGTTGGCAGAAAAAAATTGTATCACATGAAATTAGCCCTACCTAGTTCTTGTGGACTCCATACACCTACTGTCAGGAGGGGTCACCACTCTTTCTCAGCAATAATAGACAGAAATCTTTACAGAGGCTTAAAGCTTACTTTCAGCATCAAATTGTTGTCTACAGACAACAGTAGTAAGCTACTTGCTACAGAAGAGAAGTTAAAACCTATCTTGTAGATTTGTATGCCAGCAAAGCAAATTACAGGTGTCCTAGAAATAAAATATCAGACCCAAATCAGTAAAGAATGGCATTATTTCCTTTTTTTCAACCTTTGTGTATGACTTTACCAAAAGGAAACCCCTCAAGCAAAACTTTGAAGAGAGAGTAATATCAGCACTGCACTGAGGAAATCCAAACTGTTATACTACAGAGGTAGTATAGCAGAGCACCTGTATTAACATGATGCATCTTATTAGAAAGAAACAGAATGTTCTGGAACCAATGTCCATCCAGCATGAATTCACGACAAAGTAATGTATGTCTGTTAAATGAATCCTGAAGAGGCAGCCCAAGAAGAGAACAACAACAAGATCTCCAGTAATCACATCGGCAGATAAACACCTTCATATCAAGCCAACCATTGCCTTGGTCGTATCCTCATCTTCCAGAGGTTTCTCCAGACTCTTCAACAGATTTTATCCCTTCATATTAGATACATAACTGTCTATGGTGTATGCATCTGACCTAAGAGCATATTCCTACAATGTGTTTTCTTGAGAATTAAAATCGGCATGAGTAAGCTCTAGACAGTTCAGCAAAAGGTGAGAAAAGCCTATTATTCCAATGGTCCTTACACTTACTCTCCTACATTCAATTTTAAAAGCACAAAAATAAAGGATATACCTTCATGCTTACTGCAAAAATTCTCATTGACTAATATATACCAAACCAATCAGCATGATTATGAACCTGTTTCAATTCACAATGGAATAGATTTAGCATACACATGGTCAGTTATTAAATTCCAAGAGAAGGAATGAGAGCAAAAAAAGTACACAACATAATTTCTTAAATCATTGTGCTGTTTCAGAACCAAACATATAAATATGCTATCAATGGCAAAGGTCATCAGCATGTAGGAAGGAACTAAGATAACTTCCTGTATCTGTATTCCTGTATATTTGGATTTGCTGGGGTTTTTTTAAGAATTTCTTTTCATGTACACATGAAGGCAAATAAGCAATACACATAACAAAATATAAATGTAAAATAAATAAAAGCAAACTCAAAAAAAAATCAAATTTAACATTATAGATTAAACATGTTTTATGACTACAATTATTATTCATATTACTGTACTGCCTAGGGATCCTACTGAATGACAAGAATCCGAGTAGGACAAGAGTGTTGGAAACACAAAAAAAGCACTAGAGGATCATAAATCTTACAGTCTAAACACTGGACAAAAGGAATGAGCAATACACTCAGAAACATACAAACATCAGCTAATATGAATCAGTGTAATAAAGAGTAGCTCATAACACATTAGCAGCCCTAAAGAAATACATTTTGAGCAGGTAGATGCATTGTAACTATAACTTTGTAATGTTAATAAAACATTTTTCTCTGTTGTATATAAACAGAAGAAACAAGTAAGCAAACAAATCCATCAATCCTAAATCTATTACATGAAGGTTCACTAGTGCTAGCCTCTGTATAATCTCTACTGACGTAGAGGTTAAAAAAATGGTCAAACCAGCCCAACAAGATTTTTCTATCTTTGCTGAATAATTGAATATTAGTCATAAGCAACAATCATTTTAAGAAATACTCATGCAAAACTCCATCCCACAAGTCTTATCCCACAAGAACTTATTGTGTATAACAATTTTATTCTCAAGAGAAAACAAAATTTTACAGGTGTTACAAACTGACCACAGATTTAGAATTATAAATTTCACAGTTCATTCTCCAGCAATAAGCTGAAGCAGTGAAGCAAACTACTCCCACCAACTAGTTAATTGCTTTCCAGCATCTTGGTTAGACATAACACAGGCCCAATTCCTTCCCATTCACAAAGAACAAAGTAGGATGTCCTGGTTTTTGATTTCCTTCCATTCTTCCAGGTTGCTACTGTTTGGAAAGGTAT